CTCCCCCCAAAACCGGTCTTTCCTTTTTCTTTCTTTCTTTCTTTCTTTTTCTTTCTTTCTTTCTTTCTTTCTTTCTTCTTTCTTTCTTCTTTCTTTCTCTCTCTTTTCTTTCTTTCTTTCTTTTTTTTTTTTTTTTAAGAGCGCCCCTCAGACCCAACTACCAAATCTCATGGCTTTCTGCCACTCCAGCTGTCAATCACAGGCGAGGTTGTCAACGTGGTGAATGAATGATCATCCGCTCTGTCTTCTTCTGGTCAGAACACCTCAAATGTTAATATTCAAATGCACAAAGCCCTAGCGCCCGCTTGCCTTGAATCAGCCCTGATTCCTAATCAGTTTCTCTCTTCTCTCGCTCTTTCTCTTTCTCTCTCCCTCTTTGCAACTGCTGCTCTGAAGATTAGAGAGGAGGGTTAAAAAAATGTCTGTCTGAGTTTGTCTTAAAGGAGCCACGATCGATGCTGCCCGCTTGCAGTCGCCGTGCGTGTGTAAAGTGTGTGTTGCACTGGCGGCGAGGTGGATTCCGACCAGAATGCTAGAACCCGGAAGTAGTGGTGGCCATAACAGGTCGCGTCTTACACAATGCATTGGGCTGCAGCAAGTAGACTCCCCGGCAGGGGTGGGTGCGCGAAGCGAGCTCCGGCCGCGCGGGCGAGGCACGGGGGCGCTCCATGAATGCGCACGCCAGCCACGGCACCCACCCCGGGCACACGCACACAGAGGCAGGCTCGGCTCCGCCGGCTTTCCCGTCCGGGTTCTCTCTGTGCCCTTCCAGACTCTTCCCAAAGCGGACTCTGGAAATCAGTTGGGAATACACGCGGGCCGGGCCGCCGCGGGAGTCCTTTTGCACAGGGCTCGGCTCCTAGACTTCAAGACTTTCCTCGAAAAGACTGGGGTCTGCCAATATTCTCCGGGGTGGGGGTGATGCCCAAAGTACCGGATTCTCACTCGACTCCCCGAGGAGAAGAGTGGAGCGGAGAGGACGGAGAGGACGCGGAGCGGGGCTGGGGGCTCTTCGGGGAGTCCCGAGTCCGGGTGCGGGAGCCGCGTTCTGCAGAGCCGGCACGGCTGCTTTCGCGCTCAGGAACGGACGCGGGGCTGGAAAGGAAGTGCTTGCGTTTTGTCACTTGGGGTCTGACGCCCCCACCTCCTGGCGCCGGCGGTCCCCGGCCCGGCGCGAAGCGAGGGAGGAAGGGAGGGAACAATGACCGCGCTGGATTGCGCCCGGCTTGCCGATCCACAGCGAGCTGGGGAGCGGAGCGCGGGACTACACGGGTGCCCCCCGGGGCCGGGCTCCTTGTCCGCGAGCTGTGCCGAGCGCCCGGGGCGGCTGCTACGCGCGGCCGGGCTTCGCAGCCTTTGTCTGGGCGACGCCGACGGGCTCCAGCCTGGGCCTCGCTGGGCCTGGAGGGGCTGGGTCGTCCGCGGCCCCGCGCTCCCTTCCGCACCCCGCGGTCCGCCCCGACTCGGCTCAGCGGAGACCACCCGCTCCGGAGAAATTGAGCCCCGCTGGGGGGCTGAGCGCTCACAAAAGCCGGCCCTGCCCGCAACTTGAGTCTCCGGCGGAGCGCGCTTAACTTTCTCCCTCTAAACACGCTTCCCCTGGACTTCACACTGCTACGGTGTTTTTAAATTTCTGGGCTCTACTGTGTAATTCCGTGTACTGGGGTTTCACTACGTGTCTGCACTTGGCTCGGCCCGGCTCCGAGGACTCCGCTGGCCCCGGGAAGCCGCCCATCCCCAGCAGGCTCGCAGCTCGCGGGGCTCGGCGAGGCCCCCACCCCCTGCGAAACCTCGCCGAAAGCTCCCCCTGCTCTCCTCTGCAGAATGAGCTCACCCAAATCTCGGTAGGCAGCCGTGCGGGCGGTTCGGCCAATCGGAAGGCATCCCCGCCCAGGCGGCCGCGCATTGGCTGCGGGGAAAATCAATTATCAAATAATCGATCAGCAGGGAGCTTCGATCTGCCGGGAATGCAAACTGCCAGTCCAGATTCCCGCCCTGAAGGTGGCCCGAACACTGGCTCCCTTGGAGCAGCCCTCCCGCCCTCCCGCCGCCCCCGCTCCCGCCCGCTGCGGGCCGAACCCCCGCCGGGCCGCCCGGGTTCACCCCGAGTTCCAGGAAAGATTAGGGACTCCCTTTGCGCCGAGATTGTTTGGGGAAGGTTAGCGGCCCCCACACGTGGGGGAGCCACTCTTAGGCTCAAAGGAAAGAATTCGTATCCGTTCTGGAGGTAGGACTTGCGTTTCTGCTGAGTGGGCTTCCAGGCAGGGCGCGCAGGACGTGCGACCAGAACCGGGTTCCACCAGACCCCTAGGCGACGTCCACGGCCTCTGAGCAGTGCACGAGCCAGGCCCCAGGCCGGGCAGGTTCACGCCAGCAGTGCTGCAGGTCGGTGAAGCCTGGTTCAGGAGGCTTCCTGGCGCACAGCACCCCAGCAGCCCCCAACACCCTGCACATGTTCACCCCAAACCTTCAAGGCCCGGGGCCTTGAAAGAGAGCCTACTGTTAAAACAATAAAAATCTCTAAGATCCCTTATGATGTAGTCTGTGTGTTCTTTCTGTCTTTATTTTTTGTTCTGAACCCTCGAGTTTGAAGATATTTTACTTTTCTCATTCCGTGCTTGTGCAGCTTTTATGGCAGAAACACCCCGATAAATCGCTTGGAAGGTTAAGGAGGGACCTGTATGTCCAGTCCCTGGATGGGACAGCCAGGTGAATTACCTCCGGGTCTGCGAAGGGCAATTTGTATTACGTTTGGGGAGGATGCGCTGGCTGGGCTGAGCAGCTCACTTCCTGGGGATTGTGGAAAGGTCGAAGCTCGGTAGGCCACCTGAGAGCCCTTCTCCCGAGTCTGGAGCTGCGGCAGCACCTGAGTGGCGTCCTACGCTGCCGGCCCGGTGTGAGTGTCGTCTATCCAGGAGGCCTGTCAGGAACCAGCGCGGCTCCAGGAGTCAAGAGGGGCACTGGGAAAAAGCGTCAAGGCAGACACCACCGTGGGCAGGACTATTTTTACGATTCTTAAATGAACCGCAAGGGGAATTGTCTAAGCATAATCCAACTGGGAGAAATTACTGCGAGATACACTTAGGTGACCTAGTCTTAACAGCTCCCGGGGTTCTCAGGCGGACCTGGGCAATGGTTTAGAGTTTCCTCAACTCTGCCTGCAGGTTTGCAAGTCTGGAAAAGGTCAGCTTTGATAAACTATATGTCTTCGACAACAGGACTTCTTTGGGATGCTTTTCAGTAAATTCTTTTGTCTCTCTAATTCAAGTGGCAACAATGGACCTATGGGTAAGTAACTTTTCAAACATAAGCAAAATCTTCAAAGGACGGTAGGAAGATGGGCTCTCACTGTGATGTGTTGATTACCTTTAAAATGTACTTTAATTACCCACTCATACATTTTCCTTTAAAAGTAGGATAATTTGAACTTGTGAAATAAAGCCCTATTCGTTTTTGAAAACTTTCCATTAGTAAGTGTGAACCCAAACCCAATACTACTTCTAGGCCTTCACAGATTACTTCTGAGCAATCAAGGGACTAAAACAGTTTTACAATGTAATTACAGTAGTGCAAATTGTTTGCCCAAACCTCGTTCAGGATAAGGATTTTACAATTAGCAAACAGTTATTACAGTTGGGGCTTGCTGGGAGAAATTGCATACATACAGGGTTGCAATATTGTAGCCATAAAAAAAAAAAAACTCTCCTCTAGCAAGGCAGTGATTGATCATCTATTAAAAGGAAGGTGAAGAGGCAGTTCGAGGTATCTCAGTAAATTGCTGTGACATAAATTACTGCATTAGTGTGTATGCTGTATGGACAGCACCTATCCCAAGGTTATTTCAGATGTTTTCTTTTTTAAGACAATAGTACTCTGGTTTTGCAAAAAGCTGGTGGCAGGGCTGTGGCTCCTGGCCCTATTCTGGCACAGGATCTTCCCAAAGATGGAGTACAGGGACTAAGAAGAGGCAAGCTGAGCCCCTGGTCTTTATTGTTTACCTCCTACCCTGTTGGAGGCCTCTGAGGCCAGCAGTGCTGTCTCATGGTCCTTCTCTCAGAGAATCCCCTGTAACTTTCTGTTTTATAAGGACCCATGCCTTTGGAAAGTTCATATCCTGAAGTAGGCTTTTGTTTCAAAAGTTCACACTGATGAGCCAGTTCCCAAACTCTTCAAAATTAAAGAGGCATCTCTGAAGGTAAATGTGTGCGTATTTGCCAGCCCAACACAAATAAAAGCCCGTTAATCAATGGAGTTTGGCAGCTGTGTTCACAAAATGATAAGGGTTTATCATCTGGCACCTAACTTTAAGATGCCTGATAAATGTTGTGTTTGCTCTTTAGGTTGTCCTGGAGTGTGGGGCTTTGGGATTTGTACTTCAAGGAAAACAGTACCACTCCTCTGCCCCAAATAGCACCCCAGCATCAGCATTTGCATTTCAAAAAA